ATCTCACACACACACACTCACACACTCACTCACTAAATCACATCTCGCCCTCCTCCGTCAAACCCCGCCATGGCCGCCTCCACCATGTCTGTCTGCTCTGACGCTTGCACCAACTGCTCCTGGCAGGTGGACGACTGCCCAGAGAGTTGCTGTGAGCCCAGCTGCTGCCAGCCCAGCTGTTGTGTCCCCAGCTGCTGTCAACCCAGCTGCTGCCAACCCAGCTGCTACGCCCCATCCCCCTGCATTACTCTTGTCTGTACTCCAGTGAGCTGTGTGTCCAGTCCCTGCTGCCAGTTTTCCTGCACACCATGCTGCCAGCAGTCTAGCTGCCAGCCCTCATGCTGCCAGCCATCCTGCTGTGTGCCTGTGTGCTGCAAGCCTGTCTGCTGCAAGCCCTGCTCCAGCGTGTCCCTGCTCTGCAGCCCTGTGTGCAGACCCGCCTGCTGTGTGCCCACCTCCTCCTGCTGTGCCTCCTCCTGCCAGCCCAGCTGCTGCAAGCCCTGCTCCAGCGTGTCCCTGCTCTGCCGCCCTGCCTGCTCCCGCCAGGCCTGCTGTGGCCTCTCCTCAGCCCAGAAGTCCAGCTGCTGCTAAGCTGTCCTGTGCTTCACAGACCCCCGCTGCAGGTCTGAAACCTCAGAGTCGTGAGCTCAGTGGTCCCGCTCCCCACAGCTAGGCTCAGCCTTGTCCCCATGTCTCCATGCTCAGTTCCCAGTGTCTTCCATATCGCTTTACCCCATGCTTTTTCGTCTTCCCTGATGGTACCTCCTATCCTGTGATGAGTCGATGACCCATGAGTCCTGCAAACATTCTAAGGCCACCCCAGGACTTGCCACCACCCATGAGGACAGGCTTTGTGTGGCATGGTTTGGTGTCTCTGGGACCCTAGCCTTGAGCTGAGTCCAGTGTGGGCCCTCCCCTGACCATCTGGTTCTCTTGTTTCTGTTTGCCTGGCTCTTCTGAAGTCATCATTACCTAGCAGGCTCCAGGGAGACCCTTAGTGGCTCAGACTGGACACCTGCCCTGGTTAGAGGCAGCAGGCTCTGCCTCCTGTTCCCTGTCCTGGGCCCCTCTCCTTAAGCCCTCCTTTGATGTCTTCTACTCTTGTGAAAGGAAATAAATGTTGGGATTCCCGGGTGAGCTTGTGATGTTGGTCTGATTCTTTAAGCTTCTGCATTTATTCACTTTGCAATCTGACTGGTCATTTCCACATCGGTCATCTCTGGGATCCAATTCTGTTTCCAGAAGTTTCTGCTGGTCTCACTCCTGATGGCTTGTTTCCTTGTATGTCTCTTACTCTTGGGCTGAGTCATGGTCTTGTCCCTGACACAGCACTGATGGTAGGCCGTGGATGAAGGTATTGGAAGCACCAGGACCATGATCAACAATGTTAGATTTGGGGCTTTTCCTGAGGACCACCCAGAACCCATGACTTTGGGGTGGGGCTGGCTAGAGAGGTCTTCATGCAAACATGTGAACTCACATACACAGTATACACAAAAGATATTTCCTCTTTATATTGTTCTTTGTCCAGTGATGGTCTTGTTGGTATATGTATTGTATCTATAAATCCTAAAAGCCCCAAGGACTTAGTGTTAGAGAGTTGACTCAGTGGTTGATAGCACTTACTGCTCTTTAGAGGACTCAAATTCCATTCCCAAGACCCATGTCAGGTTCTCACATCTGCCTCTAACTCCAGTTCTAAAGGATCCAATACCCTCTTCCAGTTTCCACAGGCACTCACATGTGCTTCTCAGAAACATCCACAGGAATAGAAATAAACCCTAGTGAGAACAAGGACGCTGTAATGACGTGGCCATGAATGTTTGGCTTTTAAAGAGACTGGAGCAGGCTGCAGGCTAAGCAGCCTCTCGTCTTCTCTCAAGCTGCCTGTCTCCTGATTGCTTCAGGGCTGTTGGCTTCTCCTGTGGATTCAATCACCCTTGGGTGAGGAGAGCAGGTTAAAACCAACCAGAATCAGACAAAACAAAGCACACACAAAAAAGAAGCAAAGAAAAAGCTCAAGAAACACACAAAGGTGAAGATTCATAAATTAGCACATACAGGAATCCCATAAAGGCACAGTTGGAAACACTTATATATAAGCAAAAGGCATGTCAGATTAAAATAAAAGAGGAACACACACACCACACACATGCACAAACATGGGCACAGGTGCGCACACATGCACACACACACACACACACACAGGCATACACACAGGCACACAAAGGAAAAGCATTATGAAACGATGAACCTCCAAAAACACCACTGAGCTTGTTTCGTGTTAACCATCTATTGCTGTTAATGGGGCCTGCCCTTAAGTGTGCTTTGTACACCCAGGGAGACTCTATTGGAGAAAACTACTTTTCCTCAGTGAGTGCTGATCAGCTGGACTTAGGGGTGGGATTTGCGTCCACTTCTCCATCTGCCTTGGACCCATGCAGGCCCTGTGCAGGCCTCCACAGTCTATGTGAGTTCACGGTCCTGTGGATCTAGAAGGCTTTGTTTCCTTAGTGTCCTCCATCTCCAATGGCTCTTAGACTCACCTGCCTCCTCTTCTGCAGAGTTCCCTGAGCCCTGAGGGAAGGATTTGATGGAGATCTCCCACTTAGGGCTGAGTGCTCCGAGGTCTCTGACTCTCTGCGCATGTCCAGGGGTGCATCTCTGTATTCACTCCCATCTAGTTCAGGAAGAAGCCTCTCAGATGACGGCTGAGCAAGACACTCATGTGTTACCATAGTCGACTGTCATTAGGAGTCATTTCATTGCCAAGTTTTCTCCCAAGGGCCATGGCCTATCTGGTCTCAGGCTCTTGCCAGATGGTGGTTGGTTCCTTCACAACTTCTGGCCACTGGTGTATTTTGTGGACAGATCACCGTGGCAGACTGAAGGATTTGTAGCTGGGTTGCTGTTTACCCGCCTCCTCTGGTACCAGGCAGAGTACCTTAGAGTTCCTTGAGCACTGCTCAGTAGGGGTGAAGGATTTAGGTAGGACAAGCTCAAGTTCTCAGTGTTCACTGAGTAGTGTAGGTGCTGTCTTCAGCAACAGAGCCTCACCTTCAGTTTGTCGAGGAACCTTAGCAACAGCTAGGATTGTTTTGGGGTTTCAATGGGACCCCTTGGGCCAACAACGTGGTTCAATGTAACCCATTCCCAGCATTGGAGGGTTGATTTGGAAGCAAGAGATGTCTATTTGGAGCTTTGTCTCCACTGTTATTTGGTGATTGTATTAACATATATGTATATATGAGATATATGTAAAGAATCCTCCACTGTAGTAGGTTTCCAAATGACCCCAAATGGTCCTTAGCTTTAGTTGTCCTTCCGTGTGCTCTCCCATACCTCCCCTTGTGTTCCCTTCCCTCCTTCCTTCTGCCATTCGATCTCCATCTTGTCCATCCATAACTAAATATTCGATTTTCCCTTCTCTGGAAAGGTTCCCTCCAGCTTTTTTCCCTATTCCAAACCAATGTGGTTATATGGATTTTATATGGATTGTGGACTTCTCACTAAAGGCTTTACAGCTAACATCTATCCACATATACGTGAATACATACCATACTTGTCTGTTTGGATCTTGGTTACCTTCCTCAGGATGATTTTTTCCTATCTACATCAGTTTACCAGTGTATTTTGTGGTTTCTTCTTTAAACAGCTGGGTAATATTCCATTGTGTAAATGTACAATTGCTTTATCCTTTTATGCAAGAAGAATATTAAAGCTGTTTCCATTTGTGGCTGTTATGAATGGAGCAGCACTGAACATGGATGAACAATTATCTCTGCGGTAGGATGTAGAGTCCTTTGGGTAGATGCCTAAGAGTGTCACAGCTGGGTCTTGAGGTAGATCAATGCCCACTTCCTAGGGAACTGCCGCACTGACTTCCATAGTGGAGGCACAAGGGTTCACATACCCTGGCAATGAGGAAGTGTCCCCTTTCCCCACATTCTCACCAGGATGAGCCACCATTTGTTATATTGGTCTTAGCTATTCTGATGGGTACAAAGTGACATCCCAAAGCAGTTTTGATTTGCATTTCGCTGATGAGTAAGGATGTTGAACTTTTCTGTGTTTTTCAATCACATGTGTTTATCATCTAGAACTTTGTTTAGATCTATAACCCCTTGCTAATTGTGTTGTTTTCTTTATGTCCATTTTAAATATCATTATATATTCCAGATATTATCCCTCTATCAGATGTGCAGCGGGTAAAAATCTTTTCCCATTTTGTACCCTGCCATACTTATTGACTGTGGGATTCCCTTGGTTTTATCTTATTGCGTTGTCTCTATTTGACCTTAGATTTCTGAAATGGTTTTGTCATCTCTGTAATTCTCACTCATTGCCTCTAGCTTTGAGGAGTCTGGCTTATGCTGCTCATTACTGCTTTCAGAGTTCCTGGGGAAGTTTTCAAAATCTTCCCCTGGGTTGGGCACACAGCTTTCTCTTTTTAACACCTCAGACTGTGGAGCAACCATTGGCTCTGTCTCCTCAGCTGAGCTCCCTGGGTGTGCAGGCTGATGTCTGTCAGTAAACCTGGTGAGTTTCAGCCTTTGAAAGAAAACCTCCGCATCTGACTGCATGGAGGGCCCTAGCTCAGCGACTCATTGCTCCTTGGAGGTTCCAAGACGTGTGACCACCACCCCCAGGCAATATCTGATGATGGAATGAGAGGCTATTTGGAGACTCTGAAGTTCAGAGTATCCCAAGGGTGTTCCCTTCACCCTAAGTAAGGGGGCACACTCGGGGACCATGAACTAACTCACCAGAACTCAGGGTGTCCATAAGGCTTGTAGCAGTGCTTAGCATGAGGAGATGCATGGGAAAGGCTCTAGTAAATTAATTGTCCTCATAGTGTCCCTGAGTAACCCAGGAGAGTGTGCTGAGGGAGGGGGCTGGCTGTGTCTGTGGTTCAGCAGAAGCTCTGAGGACCTGGACACAGAAGAGACTTCCAGAACTCAGAGGAAACAAAGGACTATGAATGTTATGGGCACTGTCGTGGACTCCGGGAAAGCTCAACTTGAAGTGTGACAGAAGGCACTTACCCTCCTTCTCAGGCAACAGGGGACCCCTGAGTTCTCACTGACAGCAGGAGGGAGTTCTTGACAGCAAGTCCTGCAGCACAGGGCAGGAGCGAATGCCACCATCTTCACCGCCCACGCCTGGGCTGTCCCCAGTCCATGTCTGCCCAGTGGAGAAGCCCCAAGAACTAAGCTTTCAGATAAACGACAGTGACTGCCACCTCCAGAATGTCACCTGGCTATGACTATGACTGCTTCCCATGACATCTGGGCATCTCTGTGGGGTTTCCTCCAGGGGCAGTCTCACCAGACAACAGTGTTTGTTGACAGTCCATCAATAGTGAGACAACAGCCTGACTCCAAACACAGACAAGGAACAGGAAGCCAAGAGCTGCAGCACAGCACAAACAGCCCAGCTGTATAAAGGTGACCTCCACAGCATCTCACACACACACTCACTCACACACTCACTCACTAAATCACATCTCGCCCTCCTCCGTCCAACCCCGCCATGGCCGCCTCCACCATGTCTGTCTGCTCTGACGCTTGCACCAACTCCTCCTGGCAGGTGGACGACTGCCCAGAGAGCTGCTGTGAGCCCAGCTGCTGCCAGCCCAGCTGTTGTGTTCCCAGCTGCTGCCAGCCCAGCTGTTGTGTTCCCAGCTGCTGCCAGCCCAGCTGTTGTGTCCCCAGCTGCTGCCAGCCCAGCTGTTGTGTCCCCAGCTGCTGCCAGCCCAGCTGTTGTGTTCCCAGCTACTGCCAACCCAGCTGCTGCTCCCCATCCCCCTGCCTGACCCTCATTTGCACCCCAGTGAGCTGTGTGTCCAGCCCCTGCTGTCAGTCTTCCTGCACACCATGCTGCCAGCAGTCTAGCTGCCAGCCCTCATGCTGTCAATCCTCCTGCTGTGTGCCTGTGTGCTGCAAGCCTGTCTGCTGCACACCCATCTGCTCTGGTTCCTCCTCATGCTGTCAGGAGTCTAGCTGCCAGCCCTCATGCTGCACCTCCTCACCCTGTTCTGTGACCCTGTGCTGCAAGCCTGTCTGCTGCACACCCATCTGCTCCGGGTCCTCCTCATGCTGCCAGCAGTCTAGCTGCCAGCCCTCATGCTGCCAGCCATCCTGCTGTGTGCCTGTGTGCTGCAAGCCTGTCTCCTGCAAGCCCTGCTCCAGCGTGTCCCTGCTCTGCCGCCCTGTGTGCAGACCCGCCTGCTGTGTGCCCACCTCCTCCTGCTGTGCCTCCTCCTGCCAGCCCAGCTGCTGCAAGCCCTGCTCCAGCGTGTCCCTGCTCTGCCGCCCTGCCTGCTCCAGCCAGGCCTGCTGTGGCCTCTCCTCAGCCCAGAAGTCCTGCTGCTGCTAAGCTGTCCTGTGCTTCACAGACCCCCAGGCGCAGGTCTGAGACCCTCAGAGTCGTGAGCTCAGTGGTGCTGCTCCCCACAGCTGTGCTCAGCCTCATCCCTGTGTCTCCATGCCCAGCTCCTAGTATCTTGCATATTGTTTCACCCCATGCTTTTTCATCTACCATTTCAGATGGTTGCTCCTATCCTGTTACAAGTCTATGACCCATGAGTCCTGCAAGCATTCTAAGGCCACCCCAGGACTTGCCACCACCCATGAGGACAGGCCTTCTATGGAATGGTTTGGTGTATCTGGGTCCCTGGCATTGAGCTGATTCCAGTGTGGGCCCTCCCCTGACCATCTGGTGATCTTGTTTCTGTTTGCCTGGCTCTTCTGAAGTCATCATTACCTAGCAGGCTCCAGGGAGACCCTTAGTGGCTCAGACTGGACACCTGCCCTAGTTAGAGGCAGCAGGCTCTGCCTCCTGTTCCCTGTCCTGGGCCCCTCTCCTTAAGCCCTCCTTTGACGTCTTCTACTCTTGTGAAAGGAAATAAATCTTGAGATTCCCGGGTGAGCTTGTGATGTTGGTCTGATTCTTTAAGCTTCTGCATTTATTCACTTTCCAATCTGACTGGTTATTTCCACATCGGTCATCTCTGGGATCCAATTCTGTTTCCAGAAGTTTCTGCTGGTCTCACTCCTGATGGCTTGTTTCCTTGTATGTCTCTTACTCTTGGGCTGAGTCATTGTCTTGTCCCTGACACAGCACTGATGGAGGCCATGGAAGAAGGTATTGGAAGCACCAGGACCATGATCAACAATGTTAGATTTGGGGCTTTTCCTGAGGACCACCCAGAACCCATGACTTTGGGTGGGCTGGCTAGAGAGGTCTTCATGTAAACACATGAACTCACACACAAAGATGTAGACAAAAGATATTTCCTCTGTATATTGTTCTTTGTCCAGTGATGGTCTTGTTGGGATATATATTATATCTATAAATCCTAAAAGCCCCCAAGAACTTAGTGTTAGAGAGTTGACTCAGTGGTTGATAGCACTTACTGCTCTTTAGAGGACTCAAATTCCATTCCCAGGACCCATGTCAGGTTCTCACATCTGCCTCTAACTTCAGTTCTAAAGGATCCAATGCTCTCTTCCTGTTTCCACAGACACTCACATGTGCTTCTCAGAAACATCCACAGGAATAGAAATAAACCCTAGTGAGAGCAAGGATGCTGTAATGACCTGCCCATGAATGTTTGGCTTTTAAAAAGATTGGAGCAGGCTGCAGGCTAGGCCGCCTCTTGTCTTCTCTCATGCTGCCTGTCTCCTGATTGCTTCAGGGCTGTTGGCTTCTCCTGTGGATTCAATCACCCTTGGGTGAGGAGAGCAGGTTAAAACTAACCAGAATCAGACAAAACAAAGCACAAAAAAAGAGCCAAAGAAAAAGCTCAAGAAACACACATAGATGCAGATTCATAAATTGGCACGCACAGAAATCCCATTAAAGCACAGTTGGAAACACTAAAAGGCATGTAAGATTAAAATAAAAGAGGAACACACATGCACACACACGCACGCACACATGCACAAACAAAGGCGGGCATGGATGCGCACACACGCACACACATGCACAAACAAACATGCGTGTTGGCACACACACACAGGCATACACTCAGGCACTCAAAGGAAAATGGCCATACAAAGCATTATGAAACCATAAACCTCCAAAACCACCACAGAGCTTGTTTCGTGTTAACCATCTATTGCTGTTAATGGGGCCTGCCCTTAAGTGTGCTTTGTACACCCAGGGAGACTCTGTTGGAGAAAACTAATTTTCCTCAGTGAGTGCTGATCAGCTGGACTTAGGGGTGGGATTTGTGTCACTTTTCCATCTGCCTTGGACCCATGCAGGCCCTGTGCAGGCCTCCACAGTCTATGTGAGTTCACGGTCCTGGGGGTCTAGAAGGCTTTGTTTCCTTAGTGTCCTCCATCTCCAGTGGCTCTTAGACTCATCTGCCTCCTCTTCTGCAGAGTTCCCTGAGCCCTGAGGGAGGGATTTGATGGAGATCTCCCACTTAGGGCCGAGTGCTCCGAGGTCTCTGACTCCCTGCGCATGTCCAGGGGTGCATCTCTGTATTCGCTCCCATCTAGTTCAGGAAGAAGCCTCTCAGATGACGGCTGAGCAAGACACTCATGTGTTCCATAGTCGACTGTCATTAGGAGTCATTTCATTGCCAAGTTTTCCCCCAAGGGCCATGGCCTATCTGGTCTCAGGCTCTTGCCAGATAGTGGTTGGTTCCTCCACAACTTCTGGCCACTAGTATATTTTGTGGACAGATTACAGTTGTAGACTGAAGGGTTTGTAGCTGGGTTCCTGTTTACCTTCCTCCTGTGGTACCAGGCAGAGTACCTTAGATTTCCTTGAGCACTGCTAATAGGGTTAAGGATTTAGGTAGGACAAGCTCAAGTTCTCCGTGTTTAGTGAATTGTGTAGGTGCAACAGAACCTCACCTTCAGTTTGTGTTGGGGAACCTTGGCAATAGCTTGGATGGTTTTGTGGCATCCATGGGACCCCTTGGGCCAACAACTTGGTTCAATGTAACCCATTCCCAGCACTGGAGGGTTAATTAGGAGGCAAGAGATGTATATTTGGAACTTTGTCTCCACTGTTATTTGGTGACTGTATTAACATATATGTATATATGAGATATATGTAAAGAATCCTCCACTGTAGTAGGTTTCCAAATGACCCCAAATGGTCCTTAGCTTTAGTTGTCCTCCCATGTGCTCTCCCTTACCTCCCCTAGTGTTCCCTTCCCTCCTTAGTTCTGCCATTTGATCTCCATCTTGTCCATCCATAACTAAATATTCGATTTTTTCTTCTCTGGGAAATCCTTCCCTCCAGTGTTTTTCCCTATTCTTAACATCTGCAGTACATGGATTGTAGACTGCTCACGGAAGACTTAACAGCTAACATCTATACACATATAAGTGAATACATACCATACTTGTCTGTTTGGATCTGGGTTACCTTCCTCAGGATGATTTTTTTCCTATCTATATCAGTTTACCAGTGGATTTTATGGTTTCGTCTTTAAGCAGCTGGGTAATATTCCATTGTGTAAATGTACATTATTTATCCATTCATTCATTGAGTGATATCTAAGCTGTTTCCATTTGTGGCTGTTATGAACGGAGCAGCACTGCACATGGATGAACAAGTGTCTCTGTTAGCATGTAGAGTCCTTTGGGTAGATGTCCAAGAGTGTCACAGCTGGGTCTTGAGGTAGATCAATTCCCACTTCCTGGGGAACCGTCACACTCACTTCCACAGTGGAGGCACAAGGTTTCACATACCCTGGCAATGAGGAAGTGTCCCCTTCCCCCACATTCTCACCAGGATGAGGCACCAGTTGTTTTATTGGTCTTAGCTATTCTGATGGGTACAAAGTGACATCCCAAAGCAGTTTTGATTTGCATTTCTCTGATGACTAAGGATGTTGAACTTTTCTGTGTTTTTCAATCACATGTGTTTATCATCTAGAACTGTTTAGATCTAGAACCCATTATCAATTGTGTTGTTTTCTTTATGTCCATTTTAAATATCATTATCTATTTCAGATATTATCCCTCTATCAGATGTGCAGCGGGTAAAAATCTTTTCCCATTCTGTACCTTGCCATTCTTATTGACTGTGGGATTCCCTTAGTTTCATTTATTTATCTGTATTTGACCTTAGATTTCTGAAATGGTTTTGTCATCTCTGTAATTCTCACTCATTGCCTCTAGCTTTGAGGAGTCTGGCTTATGCTGCTCATTACTGTTTTCAGAGTTCCTGGGGAAGTTTTCAAAATCTTCCCCTGGGTTGGGCACACAGCTTTCTCATTGTAACACCTCGGACTGTGGAGCAACCATTGGCTCTGTCTCCTCAGCTGAGCTCCCTGGGTGTGCAGACTGATGTCTGTCAGTAAATCTGGTGAGTTTCAGCCTTTGAAAGAAAACCTCCGCATCTGACTGCATGGAGGGCCCTAGCTCAGCGACTCATTGCTCTTTGGAGAAGCAAAGTTCCAAGACATGTGCCCACCACCCCAGGCAGTATCTGATGATGGAATAAGAGGCTATTTGGAAACTCTGAAGTTCAGAGTATCCCAAGGCTGTTCCCTTCACCCTAGGAAAGGGGCAGAGTCAGGGACCATGAACTAACTCGCCTGAACTCAGCGTGTCCATGAGGCTTATAGCAGTGCTTAGCATGAGTAGATGCATGGGAAATGCTCTAGTAAATTAATTGTCCTCACAGTATCCCTGAGTACCCCAGGAGAGTGTGCTGAAGGAGAGAGCTTGCCATGTCCATGGTTCAGCAGAAGCTCTGAGGACCGGGGCACAGGAGAAGCTTCCAGAACTCAGATGAAACAAAGGGCTATGAATGTTATGGGCACTGTCGTGGGCTCCGGAGAATTTCAAAATGAAGTGTGACAGAAGGCACTCACCCTCCTGCTCAGGCAACAGGGGACCCCTGAGTTCTCACCGACAGCAGGAGGGAGTTCTTAACAGCAAATCCTACAGCACAGGGCACGAGCTAATGCCACCATCTTCACAGCCCACGCCTGGGCTGTCCCCAGTCCATGTCTGCCCAGTGGAGAAGCTGCCCCAAGAACTAAGCTTTCAGATAAACGACAGTGACTGCCACCTCCAGAATGTCATCTGGCTATGACTATGACTGCTTCCCATGACATCTGGGCATCTCTGTGGGGTTTCCTCCAGGGGCAGTCTCACCAGACAACAGTGTTTGTTGACAGTCCATCAATAGTGAGACAACAGCCTGACTCCAAACACAGACAAGGAACAGGAAGCCAGGAGCTGCAGCACAGCACAAACAGCCCAGCTGTATAAAGGTGACCTCCACAGCATCTCACACACACACACTCACTCACACACTCACTCACTAAATCACATCTCGCCCTCCTCCGTCCAACCCCGCCATGGCCGCCTCCACCATGTCTGTCTGCTCTGACGCTTGCA